TCTGACACACACTCAGGCATGGCTGGAGGCAGTCAACACCAACCCTGGTTTTGCCGGTGGCCACTGCTGCCAGAGACGGTAATGAAGGGTTCTGAGTGCAGTAATTCCCTCATTCTGGAGCCTTCTCTCTTTTCCAACAACCCGGGATTCGACCTGATGCTTTTAGTCCTATTTAGACACTACATATCCAACAAAAAGGGCGCTGAATTGGGCCCCTAGCTCCCTGCCCATGCCCCCAGATTCCGCACAGCACAATAAAGAGTAAATTTTTCGCAAACTTCAGGTCAAAAAGTGCCCATTTTGTAATATTATGTTGGTAAATACAGAGTGTCCCAAAAAAAAGGTATACACACTTTACATAATTGCAAAATTGGTGTTTATCGTAATTTTATTATTTCAAAAATGTAAAAATATTTGCAAGTATAGTTTTATTGTGTTTTGCACTGAATGTTCTCAAACTGACGTCCATTTTGACACTGCCGACAACGCGAAACGATGGAATCACACACACACACACACACACACACCATGAAACAATTCCCTTGGTATTCGGATGCATTCATGTTCAATGGCTTCTCTCAAATCAGCCACTGTTGCAATAGTCAAAATGCAGTGAAAAAAAACAATAAAATGATGCTTATAAATATTTTTTTCATTTTTGAAATAATAAATTATAATAAACACCAAGTTTACAATTATTTAAAATGTGCATACATTTTTTTGGGATACCCTGTATATGAAAAATTGTTTCTTTCCTGTTAGCTCCCATTTGTTCTTGAAATGACATGCTGCTATCTGATATCTATTACTAATCAAACAGAGCTGTCTCGTTGTGTTTGTAAGCCCACACAGTGCGCATGTTGTTTCCCTCTACCTTTTCTTTCCTATTATCTTATAGGACTCGTGCAATGAGGAAGCCTGTTTCAAGTGGCCTTACGTCAACCTCACTGTAGAAGCTGAATCTGTCAGTGGCACCTTATTCCTCCTCAACTCGGTAAGCCACCATTGATGATCTCAACCCCCACGCTCCTTTTCCCCCCGTATAGGATACCTTAGGGGCGACACTGCAGTGGATAGCGGACTCGGACCTACGGCTCGACACCAACTCTCTCCCCATCCACTTGGCTGATCTGGTGTCAGTGGACCGTCGCCGCCTGCGTGTTGGCCAGCGTTGTGCCATTGTGCTACTGGTCTTGAAGAACGGCTCTCTTTATGGGCCCTTTGAATTCGTGAAAGGAGGCTCCACCGACTTTATCGATCGACTCTCCACCTTCGTCAACCTACAAGAGTAATTATATTATGCCTTACTTTATGTTATTTTTGTCTACTAGAAAAAAAAATTATGGCTCTCTTATTGTGGTGGCATGTGAGATTGTCTTTCTGACCTATTTTGTGGCGTGTCAGGTAGAAATATTTTCCATTTGCGTGTGCTTTATTTGTGCTCAAGCGACCTATCTCTTTTATCCGTTCGACTCTGAACTTTCCAGTCAGAACTCAAGTCACAGAGGGTTGCATCTTAGTTAATGCTTTGTGCACCTCTTTTACTCTCGGCCAGGCCAGGTACTGTTATGTATTCAAAACAGAAGGCAGTTTGTAGGCAGAATGTTTTATAGGCAAAACAGAAGGCTGTCCGTAAGCTCACTCTTAGTAGGTCTGAAGACAGGCCCAAGGAGGCCGAGACCGATACGGTTACTACTGTTTCTACCACTACTAAGTATCAATGTAGCCGAGTCTTAATAGTACTGGTACTATCTCTGACGCTAACATTTGTGAGAAGTGACACTGAGTTGAAAATCAACACTGGAGCTCATGCCTCCTTTGTCCTCAGCAAGGATTGGGAGATTTGCGTTTATGTTATTTCGAGTAAATACAGGTTTGAGGCCCTGAGAACGTCAGAGCTTGCCATGTTTTTCACCCTCTCAATTCTATCCTCCCAGGCTATGTCCGTTTCAACTAGGAGTTGGACTACGAGGACTAAGATAATGCTGCTGTAAGTAATGGCCTATGCTAAAGTGCTTATTCTAGTAACCATTGTTACTGAAACTAGTAACTGATATATTATGATATGGCCTGTAGGTGCCTGTAGGGAGCCGGAATCCAGTATGCACTCCCAATCTGTATGGGATAAAGGAGATTAGCAGTTTATGGGTTTAGACAGAGCGTCATTAACAAGAAGCACAGAGTTATATCCTACCCTTATGACTTACGTAGTGACTTTTGTCGTGTATAGGCTGTCTGCAGGCCAACTTTTTGACTTATTGCAGTATCACATGGTGCCACAGTAGCCTTTTGTGCTGGTAGGGTAGCAATCTGCTCCATAATCAACTAATATTGCTATTTCCTATGAAGTCAGTTTATGGCAAACAATTGTTTTCAGCAACTCTTCATCAGACC